TTGAAATAACAAATGATCTGAATCAGATGACCAAATCTACATCTATTTTACTTGGGAACTTTTTTTTTAAAAAAAAATCAATTTGGTCCATTTTCCCAGCACTCACCCCATTTAGTGATGAAAGTAAAGGTCGGGAGCAGCCTAAAATTCCTTAACCGATTAATTATCCGGTAAAAATTACCCGGATCAGGAAGTCATAAAAAATTCGACACGGATAACGTAATTGTACGAAAATTAATGATGAAATAATAAGTTTAGTAGATGAAGAAATTGATTGGAATTCGGGGATTGAGAATTCAAATGAAGAAAATATTAATTAATTATTTTTTTTTGAAATTTATGATTTGTTAATATATATGCAATTTAACTTTTATACAAAATTACATTTTTATATCGTTGGATTCAAAATCTTTCGCGTATAAGTTGCGTTGCATGAGCAATTTACTAAGTGTAAATAAAAATTAATGCTGCGATCTAACTTTCTTTTAAGGACGCATCAAACGTTAAAATAAATTAAATTTAAGTTATCTTAATTAGATTTATTCCAAATCTGTCAAGTATTTCATCGACAAATACTTTCATTTTATATATAATATATTTTCATCGATGGGAAAAAACTTAATTTCTTTCCAACTACCACTTAAATGAATGTAAAATTACTGTGTTCGTACATTCTCAAATAGTATGACATTTTCAAATATTTGAGGATATTTTTAATATGGTTTAGTAATAATAACGCTGTAATACAACTTAAAACTTAAATATATTTTCGTCAAGTTGTACAGAAATTTATTGAAATATACAATTTTTTTTTTAATAAAAAAAGAAAAGAAAAGAAAAGATTCTTGACGCATGAAAAATTCTCCTAATTTTAACCCAACACAATGAATTGATTCACTGTAAGTGATAATATCGCAATCTAATGTTTCAATAAAAGAAAAAGAAAGAACTATTAAATATAAAAAAAAGTTGAATAATTAAATAAATAATGAAAGAATAAACAAAATTTATACCATCATCATTGTAGATATTCCTCACAAATTCCGCTTCATTTCTTTAACAAAAGGAGTTGTACTAATTGTTGTATAGTTTAAAATCTCAACTTTAATGGTTGGCGTTCCAGATTCTCCCATTGATCCCGTGTAAAGCAAATCATCATTTAGAACTCCGCGATAAACGTTATTGTCCCCTTTATGCGGGAGTTCATTGTACATCTTGTCATATAATTCTAGACCATTTATCATAATGTTAAATATTGTGAAATTAATTATGCTTGAAGAGCGAGCCCTGGAATTCTTACCTTGATTAGCTTTGACACGACCTTTATAAACTTTTAGGTTCCACCAATTTGAGTAAAAAGCGTAGTTAAATGGGACGCTCCACATAAAGGCCAAAGATTCATTTCGATTTTTGAGATGGTACACGATGACTCCTACGGTTCCTGCGGTTACGCTAGCCACCTTACGAGCTCCCCAAACCAACCCTTTATTACTGGAGAGTTCAGAAATAGGAAGCAGAAAATTCGATTTTCCATATTGAATATATACTTCGGGTTTCTCAAAAACTATTCCTGGCGAAAGATTTTTGATAGTAATAGCAACTTTTCTGGTAAAATCGCCTAGTTCCTTTATGCAAAAAAAAAAAATTTAACTAAATTCATAATTTTAATAATTGATGAAATTAATTATACTTTTAGGAGATTGGATATCAAGGAAGGAGTAATTTCCGAAACATCGTAAACGCCTGCTATCATGATTGGTATTAACAGTTCAAACAGTTAAAATGATGAGAAAAAAACGGATCGATTTTAAATAATCGGTCGTATGATCATGTTGTGCGACAAAGAGGATATAATTATGATTTTACTAAACATTTTGAGCTTAAATAATAATGACATCATCATACAATAAAAAAAATATTTTAATTATTATCGAACATTATTATTTTATACGGCATGATTGCTAGGAAAATCAAGTTCTTGGAATTTAAGTTTTTAAATAATGGACAATTTAAATCCAATAAATTGAAACGATGCGTAAAAGGATCAAGAATTAAATGCGTCAATTGAGTCTAATTACAAGTCATATCTACCCTTGCAAAATTATACACTCTTCTTCTTCCCCAAAATTGCCTTAAATAATATTGATAATTCATCCACCCTTTGTTTTATCTTTGTACGCATCGAGCAAATCGTGTGATAAAGTCTCATTCAAATTACTTATATTTTTTTTGTGTGGTTTAAATGTTTGATCTCACAATTTCGGTATTCTTGCTTACGTGCGTGTTTATAAATTACATTCGTAAACTGCGGCCATAAGGCTTGACCTCAAATTAATGTTCCCGTGCCTGAACCGCCCCTAACCTACTTTTCGTGAGGTTAGCAATGTTCAATTATTAAAACTCAATTTTTCAAATATTCTTCCCAAAAGATTATTTTTATTAGTAAATTCTTAATATAATAGAAATAGGAATAGTAGATTCGTGGATACAAGGTGACGCGTTGGTAATGATATCAGTTGAGCTACAAACCGGATCGGCTTATGAAAGAGTTTTAATCTAGTTACTTTTTTTATTAAAAGAAATTTATTCCCAAAAGTTTCGAATTAAATTACCTATCATAAGGTAATGAATTCAACTTTTAGTCTGTCGCATGTGATGATTAAATCTATCAAAAATTAGAATGATTAATTATTTGTAATTGCTACATTTTACAATATAAAAAGTTCTAAATTCAAATTAAATTGTATTTGCATTATTTTAATGGAATTTTGAATTCAATCCGAGTTGTGCTCTTAAGGATCCAAAAGATAATTCCATAATACATAAAATAATATCATACTTTCATTAAATTCATTAAATTTTAATTTTAAGCTACCGCTCGATTATAGAAATACTTTTATTATTGCGAATATCCTTGGCGCATTATGCACTATAGTTTTATAAAAAATAATAAAAATAATAAATATACAATTCATAATGCGCGTACTTAAAAAACAAAATTTTCATTTTTTAAAAAAAAAGGCTAATATAATTAATTACATGCTCAAAAATTAGCAACATCGAAATGAAAATTATTTAGTTATAATTAAGGTAAATCACAAAAAAACTACTAAATTGATAATATTAGTTCGAGTTGAAAAAAAAATAAATATATTAGTTCAAATTAAAAAAAAAAATCCATCGAAAGATACTGGTTACACGAAAAAAATTATTTTTAACAAAGAAAATTAGATTTAAAAAATACTTCCATCGAAAGTTACTGGTTACACGAAAAATTTAATTAACAAAGAAAATTAGATAAGTTTGAAGCCAATTTTTTTTATACGATCGAAAGTTCGAAAATAAGAAATATTCGATAAAAGGATATTTTGGCGCAGCCATGGTTACGCTAAAAATAATGCAAATTCAATTTAAAAAAACCTTATTTTCCAAATATACATTTGTTTTAAATTAATTTATTAATACTAACGATAAAAAATTTAAGATACATATGTTTTTTAAAACCAAATTGGAATAGTAACAAAAAAATAAAAATCTTAAACAAAAATAAAAAGAATCGTCTGAATCATCTCCATCTACTTAAATTTTTTTAAAGTAACGTCACAGTCTGAAAATTCGTCTTCACTTTCTAATTCATCTATTAATTTGCTTTCTTTATTATTAGAATGAGAATCAAAATGATTTTCAGGATCAATACTATTAAGATCCGAAATTACTTGTTCAATATCTGGTCTCTCATCTGGTTCATGCTTCCAACATTCTATTTAAATAAGTAATTAATGATTAGATTTAAAAGATTATAATATAAAGATAATCCATAACAAAATAAAATTTATGCATACTTTGATAAATCTTAACAAATGTGGCATTTGTTGTCGAAATAGGTTTTTCCCTTACGCCTTTAAGAATTTCAAACTGAATAGTAGAATCGCCCGTATTTTCAAAATTGAAAGGTGATGCACAACTTGTCAATTCCCAGAACAATACTCCTAATCTCCTATTTGCTTTCTTTTTCTTTAGATCTGACATATGTTGATCATATAAATATTGATTGATATTTTTTAATTATTTTTTTCTTTTATCTACAGCATGATTTGGGAGTTGGATTGGTAATATAGGAGTTTCGGAAAATTGCATCCACAGGCGAAACCTCTTTCGTAATGTTTCGGATTTGACGAAAGGTTTATATCGATTCTAAAGATCGATTCTACTAATTCATACTATTTTTAAATTTGGACCAAATTTGAATTTCTACACACAATAAAAATTCTCTTAAAATATCTGATTTTAGTAATAATCAACGTATCTAAAATAAAGATTAAATTTTTATATATTAAATATCTCAAATATGCATATGATGACATTCACTTTATATCATATATGATTGATGGTAACCGAATAATCATCATTCAATAATATAACTAATATCAAAAGATTATATATTTCAAACGGTACTTCTTTTGCAAAG